ATTTTCCTTTAAAGTTCCCAATTTCAGCTCTCCCATGCAGCCTGGAGCAGCATTACACCAAAATGTTGGGAGCAGTACAAAAACATTAACAAATTCAGTGTCCAAACTGCATTTTGCATCCAACCTGGAATATTTTGTTCGATTTGGGGTCACTCCTGGGTCCCTGTTCAACTGGGAATTTGGGGTGCAATCCTGCCTAAACTGCAGATAATGGGAATGTCCTTTTATTGAGGTCACAATTCTCACCTTTCATGCTGACACAGGAAAGCAGAAATGCCTGGAAATGTTTGCAAACATTGAYCATTCTCTCACAGTCACAAGAATATTTTCATTTTATTGATGCTAATTCTGGGTTTTCCCACTGTCTCCRATGTTTTGATTGCCTTTCAAACAATATTTCCAAGGAAAGGAAGTGGAATCCTATTTTTAAATCACGTAGCCAGCGTTGATGTCAGCTTGGGGTGAAAACACACTCAAGCTTCAAGCTCCCACTGAGGCGGTCGTTTTCTTGGAAAAATAGGAATGTTAGCATTTCCTGGAGCTTGAAGGGATTTTAATTGTCCCCAAAAATATAATAAATGAGGGATATTTTATCGTGGAGGTGGAAGGGGTGGATTTCCCTCTCCCTCTCCCCTGCCCCGCTGCCTCTTGTGTATTTTACACTTCCCAGCATTTCGGACACCCGTGTGTGACAAATACTTGTCAAACAAAARCCGAGCAGATTTACAACCTCTTCCCTCCAAATGAGCCCTTCCTGCCAAAACTTTATGACTTCATTTTCTTCCCCGGTTTTCCTCTGCGTCCGTTCAAACAGACGGGCCCGGGCCCGGGTCAGACAGAGGTCATTTCACTTTCATTACTAAAATATAATTTACAATATGCCAGACCTAAACAAGTTTTAGCCTAAAGGATTTGGGTAATATAAACCATCTGCTCCTCAACAATATAGCTAATTTCCTGCCATCACTGTGCAGTCTACTGGGCTGCCTGCTTAAATGGCTTTATTATTATTATTATTATTATTGTGATCATTATTATGATTATTAATGCAGCGTTTGTCTAAAAGTCACAAGTGATCAATACAATTGGAATTAATTCATGCTAAAATGGGGTTTTTTTCCATGCTTTTCCCACATTACACTGGAAGGCTGCCCTTGCATGATTTCAGGAATGCAAATGCTGGTGTTTGCACTAATTTACAGATCCTCCATCCCAAACTCATTAACCCTAAATTACTACCTGTGGCTTTACTGAGGGCCCTAAATGAGTGGGTTTGGGTGTTACAGCAAAGTGGAAGCTGGGAATGGAGCAGGTTCTTTATGGCCCAGGAGTGAAAATCTGCCCATGAGGGGCCATAAATGTTTGAAGGGTTTGCTTTTCCCCTTCAGCCGGTCTCGGAGTTTTGGGAGGGAACAGAAATGGGAACATTTCTGGCTCTGCTGTTCCTGGAAGGGTTAACAGCAAAGTCAGGGGAGAATTGGCTCCAAGGACACGGTTTTTAAACCAAAATCATTTTTTTCCTGCTAAAACTCCGGGCCCTGGCCCAGAAAACRCTTGAGCACGGCCCTCTTAAAGCACGGGAATTGCCTCAATTCCTGAAATTAGTCACATTCAATTGGAGAGCAGCAATGCCCAAGGCCAAATGCCGAAACGCTGATGGTTCCTGCACATATTTGGATCCAACCCTTGTTGTATTTGACCTTGTGGAGAGGATTGAAAGCCATTCCAAGTTACTTTATGGAGCGTGGTGAGGGGTTTGTCCCACCAGGATCCCAGTGTCCTCTGGGCTGTGCCTGGCACCGGTGGCACCGTGGMTCCCATGTTGGTGTCCCACCCATTCTGCAGGGATATTGAACTTTAAAAAAGGCTGGTTTTGGTGCTGAAATGGTTCACTTCTGTTTTTCTCACAGAGTAAAGCCAAGGAGCTGCCCCTCTCCGCCGTCCGCTTCATGGAGGAGCTCGGCGAATGCGCCTTYGGCAAAATCTACAAGGGCCACCTGTACCTGCCGGGCATGGACCACGCCCAGCTCGTGGCCATCAAAACCCTCAAGGATTTCAACAACCCTCAGCAATGGGCTGAGTTCCAGCAGGAGGCGGCGCTGATGGCCGAGCTGCAGCACCCCAACATCGTGTGCCTGCTGGGCGTGGTGACGCAGGAGCAGCCCGTGTGCCTCCTGTTCGAGTTCACCAACCAGGGCGACCTGCACGAGTTCCTGGTGATGCGTTCCCCGCACTCGGACGTGGGCTGCAGCAGCGACGAGGACGGCACGGTSAAATCCAGCCTGGACCACGGCGATTTCCTGCACATCGCGGCGCAGATCGCCGCCGGCATGGAGTACCTGGCCGGCCACTTCTTCGTGCACAAGGACCTGGCCGCCCGCAACGTGCTGGTCGGGGAGCAGCTGCACGTGAAGATCTCGGACCTGGGGCTGTCCAGGGAGATCTACTCGGCCGATTACTACCGCGTGCAGAACAAGTCGCTGCTGCCCATCCGCTGGATGCCCCCCGAGGCCATCATGTACGGCAAGTTCTCCTCCGACTCCGACATCTGGTCCTTCGGGGTGGTGCTGTGGGAGATCTTCAGCTTCGGCCTGCAGCCCTACTATGGCTTCAGCAACCAGGAGGTGATCGAGATGATCCGGAAGCGGCAGCTGCTGCCGTGTTCCGAGGACTGTCCCCCGCGCATGTACGGGCTGATGACGGAGTGCTGGCACGAGCTGCCCTCCCGCCGGCCGCGCTTCAAGGAGATCCACGCTCGGCTGCGCTCCTGGGAGGGCCTGTCCAGCCACACCAGCTCCACCACGCCGTCCGGGGGCAACGCCACCACGCAGACCACGTCGCTGAGCGCCAGCCCCGTCAGCAACCTCAGCAACCCCCGCTACCCCAACTACCTGTTCCCGGCGCAGGGCATCCCGCAGGGCCAGCTGGCCGGCTTTATGGGGCCCCCCCTGCCCCAGGGCCAGCGCTACATCCCCATCAACGGCTACCCCATCCCGCCGGGCTACGCCGCCTTCCCSGCGCCCCACTACGCCCCGCAGGGCCCGCCCAGGGTCATCCAGCACTGCCCCCCGCCCAAGAGCCGCTCGCCCAGCAGCGCCAGCGGCTCCACCAGCACGGGCCACGTCACCAGCCTGCCCTCGTCGGGGTCCAACCAGGAGGCAAACATTCCCTTGCTGTCCCACATGGCCATCCCCAGCCACCCRGCGGGCATGGGCATGGCCGTGTTCGGCAACAAAACTCAGAAACCCTACAAAATGGACTCCAAGCAATCCTCCCTGCTGGGAGACTCCAGCATCCACGGACCCAACGACTCCATGATTTCGGCGGAATTGTAAATAYGCGAGGAGGCGTTTGTACATAGAGCCCGGAGTGGGAGGGAAGATTTTTCTATTCGAATATTTTATTAAAGATCCTTAAATTCTGGTTGCAGGACAGACATTGCAGCAAAGTACCTTCTGTGAAGTTTCACTGCTCATGGGGCGGGCACAACTGGACGGATCCTCGCGGTGGGAATCTCAACCTCGGCCGTGATTCTCCAAGTGCCGCCAACAAATCAAAGACGGGAAGAGGGAATTTGGAATTTTTTTTTAAATAAAAACATTCTATCCAACGCTTTTTCACAGCTTTTTAAACCTCCGGCGTGGTTTAAATCACAGGAACTTCTTTTTGATACTGAAAATCCATATTTTAATATTTGTCTCTTTTTTTAGGAGATGCAAAGATTCGGAGATCTGGGTGTGMAATTTCGGTGCCAATAGGGAGAATATTTGTAAATGTTGCAGTCTTGGATTGTGTTTCAAAGATGTGATCTGAGAGCTGAGTAAATTACTTCAGGTGGGATTTTTTTTTGGTTTAGTTGGGAGTCTGAGCTCAGATTCAGACCAAAAAATGTCATTTATGTGACAGCACGAATGCTCAAGTTATTAACTTGCATCTACAAACCTCATGTGCTGCTGAGGACAGCTGGAGTTTCAAGGAATTGCCTTAAAGGAAATGAAATTAAAGGGCTTTAATTTCAGAACCTGAATCGACTTCTTCAAAGATAAAACGTTTCACGATCGAGTCGCTCAAGCAGGAATTTTCTATCCTTTTGTTGCTATGCAACTGTGTAATGGAAAAGCTCCAAAGCGCGATTTTTTATGGATGACAATCAGTTTTCCCGGGAATATTTATTGTGCCGTTTCGGTGACTCTGRCCCCCGGCAAAAGGGAGGCTCACATTCCGTCAGGCAGCAGCGCCCAKCGATAGCGATCGTGTCCGATAATGTGAATTAGCGCCCATTTTCCACGATTTYGCCAATCGTGTCGTTGAAACCCCTTTTTTGGGTAGAACCAACCGAGATTTTTCATTTGAAACCACTTTAACGAGTCACACGCGTGCTGGCTACGGTACATTTCCCACGGACTCTGCTTTTTTTTTGTACTGAAGAATATTTTTATTGTCTGCCAAACCAACCTTTCGCTCGGTCGACAATGTTGTATAATAGGACTTTATTTTTATCTTTTTTGCACAAAAGTGTGATGAGGATGGGTTTGTTTTTTTTTTTTTTTTTTTGTACAGCAGAAGTGAAAATACATCTCTGCATTTTCTATCTTGGGCTGTTTCTTTCGATTTTTACCCCGATGTAGATGTTCCTGAAATATATTATGGTGATACTCGGCCACTACTTTATCCAAATATCTTTCTTTGTTTTCACTGCATGCGTTTAATCACTGTATTCCTTGATGATTGAGTTATTAATTGCGGGCATTTCAATTAGGCGAGCATGGAAAAGATGTAACAACAAAGGCTATTTTATAAGTGAGACCTGTGCGTTTTTGTATTCCACGTGCCAGAGATGATATTAAACACTGATTATTTTATGCTGCTGTTTATTAAAACATTGTTTTGCCATCAACACGTCAGAATTTCCTCCATCTCGAAGTGGCTGAAGGACATGGAAGGGATTCACATTCCAGGGAAGCTGAGCTGGAAGTTTTTATCCTTGGCTTTAATCAAAAATTGGGAATAACCTAATCCTTAAGGAGCAGCTGTGGGATCATAAAAAGTCCCTCACACTCTTTGTGGTTTTGTGTTCAAACCGCTCACGGCTCAGTTTGGGGTTTCTCTTGATTTCAGAGCTTGAGGTTAAATTATTTTGGTTGTGAACCAGCTCTGAACAGTGCACCTGGAAACCCTCGGGAAGGGTTTTTTTCTGCAGGGAAAAGTTGGGAATTCTGAGGCTGAAGTCACAGTCTGGCTCATGCCTGATGCTCAGAGAGGGAGCAGAGAGGTGGGGATTCCTCAGGGAGAGATGAGAGGGAAAAATCTGAAAAAAAAAAAAAAATAGAAAAAAAAAGATTGGGTAATGTCTCCGAGGACAGAATTCAGAAATTCTGCAGTGCTCAGGAACTCCTCCCTCTGGCTGAGGAGGTGATAAAAGTTCTCCAATTTTATTCCTGCGTTCTCCTGTGGTTTAGCAAGTGGAAAAAAACCAGGGAATTTGCCGAGCCAGGACGCTGCTTCARGTCCCAGAGGGGGTGGAGTTTCTCCCCTTCTTATTTCTCACCTAGGAACTCTGTAACAGCTAAAAAAATCCCTTTTCCCTGGGAATCCCATTCGTTTCCAACACCAGTCAGGAAGGACAGAGGGAGCTGAAATCCAGGCGTTTTCCTCGGAGCTGAAATCCAGGGGGTTTTCCCTGTGCAGAGAACCCCCCAGGGCTGATTTCCCTTTCCGTGGCTCCGATCCCCTCTGTTCGACACTTTTGGGAATTATTTTGGGGTGCAACATCCTCTGGGATGTCCCTTTCGATCCCAAACACCCCGGGAATCCCGGACCTGGCAGGAATTGTTTTCCTTCCCCCACTCCACCCCCGAGAACCAGAGAGGAAATCGCGATTTTGGGATTTTGTGGTGCAGGAAAAGGGGAACATCCCGGTGCCACCTGGAGGCAGCAGATCCCGGGATTTTGGGCGATCCCTCCTCGCCCAAAATTGCGGGGGGATCAAAGGCAGAGCAGGGAACTCTGCAGATTCCGACACGGGGAGGGGTAGTCGCGTTTTTGGGGTCGTTTTTGTTGTTTCGATCGCAAACATCTCCCAAAACTCGGAGCTCCTGGCACGGGATGAGAGCGGAGAGACCGAAATTTGCTGACGGAGGGACGGATTCTCATCTCAGGATTGCGCCGAGCCGAGTGTTGGTGCTCAGAAGGGAAATTAAGGCTCTAAATGCAATTATTTCTGCCGAGGAGGGYTGAACTCAGCTCGGTTCGGTGTAAAACTCCGCTCCCGTGGCTGAGAGCGCGGAGCYCCCGCGGAGCTCAGATCCTCGCTAATTAAAGTGCACCGAGATTTTAATTAGAGCCGGCCTTGAGGGACGGGGATTGTCCTGCTYGTGTCATCCTCGGGAAGTGTTAAAGAAATGATGGGGAAATCCAGGGAAATGGGGCCGGAGCGGGAATGGGGTGATCCCTTGGGGGGCCCGCGGGGTGGGGAGGGCAGCGGGGATGGGTCTGGTTCCAGGGGAGATGGGATTTGGGGTTTGATGGTGAGGGACAGAAATGGGACCGAATTCCCATTTCCAGAGAGTTCCCCGAACCCAGGGAAGGCTCTGGAGCGCCGGGGTGAGGGGAACGGCTTCCCGCTGCCGGAGGGCAGGGATGCGGGGATTTTGGGGAAGAATTCCCGGTTTTGAGGAAGGGGAGGTCCGGAGGAGCTGTGGATACCCCCAAACCCCTGGATTTTTCCCTTTTCCTCTCMAATGATCCCTCCCAGCCCCTGGATCGCCCACGGAAGTTTGGGAAGCCCGGACAGGGCGGATCTGCCGCGGGTTTGCCGATCCCAAACTCCGGAGTTATTGGGGTTTTTTCCTCCATGTTCGGAGCTCTTTTGCCATCTCGTGGCTGCCGAGGGAAGGATTCCCCGGTTCCTTCGGGAGATGGAAATTAAAAACCCCATCAACAGCAGAGCATTGAGGAACTGCTTCCCTCAGGAAAAGTTAATGTTCCAGGAGGCGGGAACATGAAAAATACCCTTTAAAGCCCCAATTAAAAATAGCCCCATTTTCTCAATGAGCACCCGGGCTCACTCACCCCACAAARCCAAATTCTGACCGTGTGAGCACAGCAGAGCCCCGCGGCCAGGAGAGGGCACGGGGGGACACTGCTGGCAGGAATTTTGGGAGAACTGGCAGTGAAATTCCGTCCCCGCCGAGCGCAGCAGCCCTGGGACGGGTTCAAGTGTCCAGAGGAGTTTGGAGGATGGGCGCAAACAGATTAACGGGCAGTTTGAGGCAGAGCTGACTGAGGGATAAAAAGTATCCTTTATTTCGTTATTCTGCAACTTGTTACACAAATGTTTCCTTATTTACAGCCCAATGGAAGCCGCTGTTCCTGAGTGCTCCCGGCACKTGTAGTTTCTCCTTTCTCTCCTTCTTCTCCTTCTCTTTCTCCGTTCCCGTTCCCGTTCCTCCTCTCCTCGACTCCTCCAGCAGCACCAAGGCCACCGCTGCCCCCTGTCCCCAAGTGCCACATCCACAGGGATTTTAAATTCCTGCAGGGATGGGGGTTCAGCACTGCCCTGGGCAGCTGGGACAGGGATGCACAGCCCTTTCCGGGAA